ATGAATATGATTCAGTCGTTTTGAGCTTGCTGGTTATAGTTGAAAGATCATGTATTGCGAGCTGCTTGCGATACGTTACGGGGCGAACTACAGGCAAGTGGCCTTGAGATGTATTGGTGAACTTGTTATGCCATGCTGGCGTTATTCACATAAAAACAAAAAGGTCCCGATCAAAAGAAACAATCACAACAACAACAACAAAAGCAGCAACAACAACGCATCATGCACAAACACATACACAAATTATGGGTATCGAACTTCGCCATATTTCACGTAGGCAGGTATGATGGTACGCGGCAGCTGCGAACACGTCAGAAGCATGTGGCACATACGAGACCAGTACCTGGTGCGCCCAGTATGTCAAGTGTTGCACATGTATTATTATATGCGTGCTTCTCAACAACATGCTTCACATCCTGCTCACCAGACCAGTTACCTGCAAGTACATCCCATACCCAGTCTGTTTTTCGGTGTCGGAAAAAAGGATGCCCGAATCTCCACAGACAGCGAGCGGTCTCCACATGTCGGAACAGCATTGCAGTTCGATAACAATATACACATGGTTCATTTATAATTATTCGAAAGTTCTTTGATTTATTGGGTGGTCAAGATCCTTTCATTTCTAATTGTTCTTTCCTGGGCCTCTTCCTGGCCACTAGGTGGCCAGGAACAATTAGAAACGAGCACAACTAGAAATGAGCACGATTAGAAATGAACGACGTGTACTCTTCAAAACCGCAGCAGAACGATTGCGCGTACGGCTTTGCAAACACGCTTTTGCAGTTTGGTGCTGAAATTGTGTCGCTCCAACATATGTACGAGCCTCGAAGCTCCCACTAGCTAGTAAAAAGATCACTTACAAGCCTTGTAGCACAATGGGTGCCACCACCAATCTGCGAGCCCCTGGAGTTCCTAGGGCAGCCCGAACTCAAGCCAACAATGATGAATTTCGAGCCCCCTTCAGTTCACCGCTTCCGTGTGTACTTACACGTCGTTCGCGCGTGCTACATCTCTGTGCACTCATCATTCACACATGCCCGCATGGAAGTATTCGGCCTGTGCATTCGGTCCGATACTTGATCGGTGATGGAGTTGCATCCAGCGGCGTGTCTGTCACCCTTGCTGGACAGGTCCCCTAGACCAGTTCCGGAAGGTCGACCCGCACGAGCCGTACGCGAAGTTGATGTTGCCGCCAGGTGTCCCGTGCAGAAGCATTGGGGCTATTGCTTTGAGTTTATGTATACCGCGTTTCTCCCAGAATGTATGGGCGATTGTTTGAATATATGAGCAACACGTTTCCGTACATTCCAGCTTATATCGGAGCAGTTACGCGAAGCCCAGAGTAGAACAGCAATGGTGCGCGGCTCGCATGGCACCATAGCATTTCTGCTCGTGTCCAAGTGTAAGCGGCCCAAGCAAACAAGCTGCATTTGAACTCAAAGGGCCAGGCATACGAAGGCGGTGTTCGACATGTTTGTCGTCTTCGTACAGGTGTGATTCCGATTGCTAATCGTTTCACGTAGTGGATTGATTGCTCTATTAACCGATTATGTTTTTTCTGCTTATTTTGATCGATGTCTTTTTCTATTACTTGCCAATATTGCTAGCTGATCGCGTCGCGAAATGTACGAGGGAGGCGATCCGCGAGCGAAGCGAAAGCGAGTGAACCACTCTGCGACCAGAGCGAGGGAGAACGAAACAGGGCGGTGCAGCATCGCACACAACCAAGAGCGTCAACGACATACCTAGGCGCCTCTTAGACATCATTGTGATTACGCTTGATCCCCAGGCCTACCCACCCACTCACTCATCGCCCCACCTACCACCACCCATCCAGCCGCCCGCGGATCCACCCACCGAGCCGCTTGCCGGGCCTCCTGGCCGTCCACCCCCCAGCTTCCCAGCCAGAGTCTCCCGCAAGTGCCAGTCCTTCACAGAAGTTGCCCCTGCGGCCTCGAGGCCGGCCCAGGTCGCTTTGAAAGGGTAACCCTTGCCGGGACCGCGCCGAAGACCGCCCGGACGAGCACATCCGGCCATGCCTTCTCGCGCACCGGGCCGCCCGGGGGCGGCCTCCCCGCCGTGGCCAGCGCTCTGCTCGAGGTCCTCGCCGGTCGGGCCGGTGCCCGCGAGGGAGGCTTGCGGCGGCGGACGAGGCGTGCTTCTTCGGGGCGTGCGCAGCGGCGTGGGGCGCAGAGGGTGGCGAGCGGCTCTCGGAGTGCCGCGCGCCACCCTCTCCGTGGAGCGCCTCTCCGCTTCTCGGAGGCCTCGCCCGCCGGCGTGCCGAGCAGCGTGAGCGCTGCGAGGGAGAGCAGATCGAGAGAGCTGGCCATAGGGGAACAAAAAGCGGCATAAACATAAAAACTCGGAGGTCCGCGCGGACTTCTCGGATCGGCGCTGGGGCCCCCCGGCGGCGCCTCCGGCTCCGCGCGCCAAGGAGGGGGTTCAGCGCCGATCTGAGAAATCCGCGCGGACCTCCGAGTCTTTATGTTTATGTCACGTGCTGTTCCCCTTGTGGCCAGCTCTCTCGACAGGCGGGCCTGAGCTCGCTGGAGCGCCGCTCGCTTCCACGGATCGGCGCGCGCCTTTTTCGAGCTGGCAGTTGGGGCGGCACGTGGGGCGATGCTCGAGCGTCTGGGCAGAGCAGGTCGGAAGCCGGGCGAGGGCTGCTAAATCCGTGGCTGCTAAAATCGACCTCCAGGAAAGTGTCTTCGTCCTTCCGGGAAGAAGCCCGTTGACTGTTTCGCGTGCCGCGCCTCATTCCGGGAAGTTGTTTTTCCCTTCCGGGAGGGCCGTTTTAGCAGCCACGGTTTTAGCAGCCCTCGCCCAGCTTCCGAGCAGGCGCAATCGAAGCCGATTCCGAGACCCAATTGCGTCGGGATAGCCAGGGCGGGCTTGACGAATGTGTTGATCTTGGGCTTACGCCGCACCGCCGACCCCTTGGGGGGCTCCTGGTAGGTCTCTCGGGGGCCTCCTGGCAGCACTTTTGAGGCCTTTTGGGGACCGTTTCGGGGCCTCTTGGGACCTCTTTTGGGCCTCTGGTGGGCCTCCTGGAGCCTCTTGGGGGCCTCTTGGGGCCTCCTGAGGCTTCTCTGGGCCGAGGGCTCGAAATTTCTGTTCGGGTCCCCCGCCTGGGCCCCCTCCTGGAGCCGTCTTGGGGCCCTCTTGGGCCGTCTTGGGGCCCTCTTGGGCCGTCTTGGAGCCTTCTTGGGGACTTCCTGGGCCGTCTCGGGGCGATCTTGGAGGCCTCTTGGGCCGTCTTGGACGTTGTAGAAAAGTCTAGGAGGCGAATTTGCTAAAATCAGACGCTTCCCTAAGGGAATAGGAGGATTTTTGCTTCTGGGGGCCCTGTTGGGACGCCTCTTGGGGGCCTCTTGGGGCGTCTCGGGGGCCTCTTGGGCCGTCTGGAGGCCATCTTGGGCGTCTTGGAACGATCCATCGGCTACTCGGGGCCCTCTTGGACCATCTTGTGGGCCTCTTGGGGCCCTCATGGCCCGTCGTGAGGCCCGTGACGCATTCAGCCGGGGCCGGCCAGACCCCCCCCCCTCAAAACTGATTGGACTGGGCCCCGGGGGGAGGGGTTTGGGGAGGGGGAAACATCGCACACGCCGATGACCCCAAGAGGTCGGCGGATTCTCCGCTGTCGTGTCGCATACACCCCAGAGTGCGTGAGCGTCCGCGCTGCGTGCGCAGAGGCTGGGGCTTGGCCCGCAGCAGCAGCACCATGGCGGACTTGTCCCGTGCTGACCTCCGTCTGTGCAGCGTGCGCGCGGTGTTCGCGAGACAGTCATCTGTTTGAGAGCCTCTCCCCGAGCGAGGTATGTCCGCGGCCACCAACGCCAACGTCGAGCGCTCCACGCCGATGCTGCCGACGGAAGTCTGGCGCCCGCTGCGGGCTGTCGAGTGCGGGCCCTACTTCCAGGTGCCAGGGGCCCCTGGGTCGGAGATTGCCAGACGGGTTCTTCTGCACATGGTCGGTCTCGCGCGCGCGGCCCCGCTCGAACATGTCAAGAACAGAGATATTCGGCGGCGCGCCCGGGGGAGAAGGCAGATGAAGTAGGCCTTCTCAGAGGGCTCGCAAGGTGCAGAGGGATCGCCGGGCTTTTATAATGTCGCTACACGTTCTACGACACAGTCTGAAACATCTCCAAACCTTTCTAGAACAATTCATAAGAATAACCTCCGTCTTAGTGCAAGTAGCCGATATGACAAAGTTTTACATATATATGTATATATATATATATATATATACACATATGCTTATATATGGTGAATACAGCTCTATATATAATGTATAGACACATGCCTTATATTTGTTTAAAGAAGAATTGAGAAGCTGGCTGAGCCTTCTCCGAAGCCCCGCCGCCTTCTGCGCAGGCCCTACCCCCTCCTCGCGCCCCCCCATGGCACGCCGCCGCGAGAGAGAGAGAGAGAGCACCGCGCTGCCACTTCCCGTCCTGCAGCACGGGCTTTCCTGCACCGGACCTTGCCACCACTCGGAGGTCGATAGACTTCCTACCCTGACACGTCGATGGGCGAGTTGGCCGTTTTCGGATCGCGAGAGGGCGTCGCGGCCGTCGTTTTTGCGGGTCCAGGCCCGTCGGTCTCGGTCCTAGGCCGTTGTCACTAAGGGGTGGTTTACGAAAGGGAGGCTTGTCCACCGCCGAGCCACTGCCGGCTGGAGGAGGGGAGGTCCAGAAGCGCAGGCGTGCGGCGCGCTGCTTCTGATCCGCGGAGCCGTGGCCGGACTCGGCCTGAGAGCGCTGCCCGCTTCTCTCAGGGGTCGGTGGAAGCCCTGCGTACCCTGCTGTGTCGATTGGCGAACTGCCCCCTGCTCGGTTCTCGAGGAGGCGTTGCGGCCGCAGTCGTTGCGGGCCTGCGCCAGCGGGGTCTGGTCCCGGGGCCGCTGTCCACCCGCGATTCTCGTTTAATCAGGAGGGAAAAAAACACACAGACACAATGAATCGTCCATTCCCCCGGAAAGATTGGACGATATGGGAAGTGTGGGTGGGGGGGGAAGACAGAAACCCAGAAAAAATATGGGAAAAGATGGGTAATCCTGTGATTTGTGTATATTTGTTTGTGTGTCCCAGGGCCCCCTTCAGCTAAGTGTTCCTCTCTCTCTCTCTCTCTCAGCGTTGGCGTCGGACGGCGCTTCGCTGGCGCGCCGGGAGCGATCGGCTGCGCTCCACAGGGGGGATCTTGCCGGAAGGGCCCCGGCAGGCTCTTCGGAGGGCTCCTCTTCGGAGGCCGCGTGCTGCACGTCTGCGCCGATCCTGGCGAGGCCGATCCTGGGCCCAGGATCGGCGTATGTGCCCTCCTGGCCAAGGCAGGAGGGCGTTCACACCGAGCCTGGGCCCAGGGGCGGGCCTGGCCAGGATCGGTGCAGGTGTGCAGCTCGCGTCCTCCCCTTCTTGGGGAGCAGGAGGGCGCCCCCCGAGGGGCGGGCGGCCCCCTCGGAAAGGCGGCCGGCCCCTCCTCCTCCTCCTCCTCCTCCTCCTCCTCCTCCTCCTCCTCCTCCCCCTCCTCCTCCTCCTCCTCCTCCTCCTCCTCCCCCTCCTCCTCCGAAGCGAGAAGCAGATCTTCGCAGAGGCGGGCAGCCTGGGTGCCCAGGCCTTCCAGATGGGGCCCGAGCAGGTGGGGCTCGCAGGATCGCGCCGCACCGCCGAGGCATCGGCGATGCGGCTCGATGCGGAGCCCGACCTGCTCCACGCCGACGGCGCCGATGCATCCCCGACGCATCGCCGATGCATCGCCGGTGCATCGCCGATGCATCGTCGGTGCGGCGCGTCCTCTGGCCCCAGCTGCCCGGGCCCCATGCGGGAGGCCTCCGGTGTGCGGAGGAGGGCCGCGGGCCGGGGAGGCGACGAGCGGGGAGGAGTCGGCAGGGAGTCCGCGGGAGGGGCGGGGAGGCTGAGCCGGGGAGGGAGCGGAGGACCGAGCCCTGGGGCAAGGGCAGAGGAAGGCGCGTGCTGGTGGGGCAGCCTGGCGCGATGGGTGCACTGCTGCATGCCCCCTCGTCGTCTGGGGGCTGGCAGAACGCCACCCTGCCAGGTCGACTAGCGAATTGCCTCGTCTCGCCCCTCGAGGGGGTGCTGCGGCCGCATTCGCCGCGGGCCTGCGCCAGCGGCGCTTGGTCTCCGAAGGCGGGCTCCCTACAGGTGGCTCTGGCCACCCACGATGGAGGATCCTCGCCTCCGGTCCTCGGAACCCCTGAGTGTACATCGCCTGTGGTCCAAGAAATGCTCGGCTGCACTCGGAAGGGAGGGGCTCTGCCACATGGTGTTGTCGGGCCGTCTAGTCGTTGGCGGGTGCGCAGTCTGCTGGTGGTTGCCAAGTTCCAGCTGCACAGCTGTATTACAAACTTAGCTGCAGGCGAGGTCGGACCGCCTGGATGACAGGCCTCGTACCAAAAACAGATGACCCGAGACGCACCCAGCCTCTGCGTATCAGGCCCCGTGAACGGAAGCCGCCCCGACGACCTCACCGCAAGCAACCATTGAGCACACAGCGGAAGCACGAAGATGTTAGCGGAATGGCACCGCGCGCGAGGCCAAGGAATCGTCCCGTATTGTACAGCCCGTGCGCAGCCATTCATCCGGGGTTCTACACGCGTCGTCACCGTCGTCCCCTCCGCCAGCAGCCCTAGCCGCTCACGGGGCCGGATAAAAGTTCACACCCGAGCCGCTTTGGAGCGCGTGGGCCCGCACGTCGGCCGACCATCCGATAACTGCCCGGCACGGGCACGAGAGAACACTTCATGCGGGAAGGATGCGCGGTCGTCTTCTCGCCGTACGGCCAAGCCTCTTGAAACAAACGAATACCAATTTGAGGGGCGCTGGACTCCAGCCGCTCCTCAGGGCTAGGTTTCGGTCGGACGTGTCCCTCGGCAGGAGGCATATCCCAGAATAGTACCAAAAAAAAGTGTGGTGACGATCTGTCGCGCTCCCTTGACAGCTTTTGATTGTGTTTCGACTATATGTTTTGAATGTGTCCGAGATCCGCCTGTGGGGGGACGTGCCCGACCTGAAAAGCTGGGCCGGGAGACCTGCTCGTGGACGAGGCCCGCCGTGGGCGGAAGAAAGCCGCTCCGCTCCTCCTGCCGTTCCTCGTGGCAGCACGAGGACTGCACGGCTAAGGCGGGCGTGTCCCTCCACGGGAGGAACACACACTGTTCTTCTCCCGTGCTTCGAAAGTTCTTTGATTTTGGGGGGGGGCCCAGATCCTTTCGTTTCTGATTGTTCTCTCCTGGGCCTCTTCCTGGCCACTGGGGGGCCAGGAACAGTTAGAAACGAGCACAATTAGAAATGAGCACGATCATAAGTGAACGACGTGTATTCATCTAAGAAGGAAAGCGCCATAAACATAAATGTTTGGCGCTCCGCGCGGATTTCTTAGATCGGCGCCGGACCCCCCCCCCCCCAGCGGCGCCTCCAGCGCCCCTGGCGCGCTCCGCGCGCCAGGGAGGGGGGTCCAGCGCAGATCCAAGAAATCCACGCGGAGCTCCAAAAGTTTATGCTCATAGCGTTTTTTTCTTCTGAGTCAAAACAAGTACAGAAAAATCCGCCGACATAGCCGAACAGCTCCATGTATTCCACGGACCCGAACAGGTGATGTGAACGCGCCGCCATGCTTGATGAGTGCCGTAGAGTTCGTGGAATGATCTCCTCCTGCCGACAGGTTCCTTCCAGCAGCGCATCCCAGCATGTGCAAAGCCCATCTAGACGGGCGATGCTGCCCTATGTTCTTGTCCAGGCCACCCACATGGCAATTCGATGCTCAACCAGCGCGGTGAGCCACAGAAGTGCGGTCAGGAGTTCTAGGAGAGCGGGCGTGCCATCCGGCTCTTATCCGTGATCAGCTGCATGGTTCGTAAGTGGTCGAGCGTAGTCAGCGCGACGAAACATGCCCGCGCGGCAGCGGTCGGGGAAGGCTCGTCCAGTGCCTGCCTGTCCAGGGCGCCTGTGGACTGTGCAACAGTATAGTCTGCCGAGCGTTGTCTCGTCTGTGTTCCTCCCTTCCTTGTGCGCCTACCTGTACGTGGCCCACTCTGGGGTTATCCTGCTCTCCTTCATGGATCAAGTATGGGTGTATGTAGCGTCGTGCGGATCTTAGCACTGAGTCGCGGTTCTTCTGGAAGAGGGGACGCCGTGCATGGAGGCGTCGCCCCCCCGCTCTGCCCAGAGACACGTCGGTTCCAAGCGGCATGCCCTCTACAATTGTAGCGCCTTGTCTTAGTCCACGAAAGATTGCGTTGAATTGCTCGTGGCGTCGCCAGACCGCAGCTTCGACCTTGAAGGGTCTGGGACCAGGCTCCGAAACAGCAGATCCGGAGATTTCCTGCCCGTCTTTGTGTGAGCGCGACGGACGCACGCCCATCCGCTTGCCTTCGGCAGTCAGCGGTGGAGAAGAGGCCCTCGTTGTGATGTCCTCTGTCGACTCGTGTTGATTGCCTGCATCTCGCGGGAAACTGCACTCTCGCCCACCAGGTCTTGCCGCTGCCCGCACAGCTGGAGCCTGTAGCGCGTGAAGTTGGTGGGTGGAGACCTGGAGAACGCCCCGGATGGCAGGAGAGAGAAGTGCGTCGTAAGCGCATACCGTCCCAGCGTCTTCTGTTGTTGATGCGTCGGGGTTGGTAGGCAGTGAAGAGGATACGGCCGACGACGACTCGCTAATGCTTTCGCCCTCCTCGCCGTGGTCCTGATCTGCCCGAGATGGGCCTCTTTACCAACAGGAGTCTTCAGCGTCCTCGGCGTCTTCAGTTAGGCTGAGACATAACATTTCTCGGAGTTCTCTTCGTGCGGAGTGTTGCGCGCATCTGTTGATGGGTAGGAATGATAACTGAAGCCCGCGCGCTTGAATGATTACTTCAATCGCCTTCCGCCTCCCGCTGCCTGTTAGCCGTGGGTTATTGGATGCAGC